ACACTAACCCATTGAAGTGTGTACAACTAAGTATATAGTGTACAAAATGAAGGTGTGCTAATAGACTTCTCTAAACTAGAACCACTAAGAGTATTTCATTAGTTTTGTAACAAATTAAAAATGTACAATTAATTTGTGAAACTGATATCTGGCAACTTTTTTTTTTAAATAGAAATTTTGTGCAAGCATTACATTTAACACTGGATCTACATCTCTTTGGTTTAGCATTTCAGAGGAATATACTGAGAAAACACATACTTTTTTTTATGACTTACCACCTTTAGCGAGTATTGTGCCAGGTATAAAAAAACTGGTATAAAAAAGTTACATTAAGGAGTATTTATAAAAATGTCTTCATTTGGAAACCGTAAATACAAATAAATAATACAATACAATTCAGTATTTTAAACAATACTATAATAACTAGCAAGACTAAAAGAAAATGCAGTTTATGTCATGTATAGTTTACTTCAACAGTTTTACATTCTGAGTTGGCTCTATTGACTTCACTTACGTAATCATCAACAACAGACTCTACAACAGTGTTAACAGGTATATTTATTTATAAGGGTTATTTATAAGGTTTATATGTAGATGTCTCCATAAATAGAAACAGTGAACATAAAATATATTTCAGAAGGTCAAACTTTTAACCTTATTATTCCTTTGCTGTTCTTTATTTATAAGTGAAAAAAAATAATGTTAATATTTTTGTGGTTGTAGGTACATAAAGTTAACCAATAGTCTCTATATGAAACAGAGTGCCTGTGAAGTACAGAGTCAACTGAGTATTTGGGTATTATTTCATTCCAGTTGCATACATTAACCTGTCAAGCAGTGTTCTCGTTTTACACACAGTCTCAAGGGACGAGGCGTAAGCAGGCCACATGCATTTAGGAAGCGCTGTGCAGATCTACCACAGCCATATTGAAATGTGATCCAACTTCAACAGGTTACTTCATACTTGAGTTAAAGCAGTGTCCTTTCATGGGCGCTGTCCAGTTAGAGTCATACCATCCCACCATTTTTGAGTGTTGCAGTCATGCCTACAATGCCCAGCATTCGTTTCACATCCTGTCGCCATGGTTATTGGTGTTTCACTGTCTACTGCTGGCAGATCAAGAATTCATGTTGTGGCCATTGTTTACAGGAAAGAATGTCCTCACTTGTGTCTGGGATGACATGCCATTTGTTTGAGTGAGAAGAATGTGTGTACTTGCATTTGGGCTGCTCAGTGTGTCATCTTCATGCTATGTTGCACAGAGGTTTTTGTTGTAAGTTGTTTGCCCTAGGCAATGTCCGAAGTAATTCAGATACATTTTACGATGCACCCTACTCTCCAGCTTGGCCTTCTATCTACACAAGGCCACTGTTTCGTGGTCATGAAAAGGGGACTTTCTGAAACTGTTGTAGAATATGGATATATTTGAAAGTTCATTTCTCGTAGAAGGGCAAAGCTAGGCGTTATGAAAGTGTTGACATGAGCCAGTTAGGGTATGTTGTAGCAGGGTACCTTACTATCAACCCTAGCTTTTTTTTTTTTTTTTTTTTTTTTTTTAATTTTTTTTTTTTTTTTTTTTTTTTTTTTTTTTTTATTACAGAGAAGGTGCATCCTTTGTCAATTTTTAGCTTTTAGATATAAGGATATAATCAAATATGATCTAGTAGGGTTGGGCCATATCAT